TTTTCGATGATCCAGCGGATGTTGGCAACTTAATCTCTGGTTCCTCTGCCTTTGCTAAATCCAGCTTGAACATCTGGAAGTTCATGGTTCACGTATTGCTGAAGCCTGGCTTGGAGAATTTTGAGCATTACTTTGCTAGAGTGTGAGATGAGTGCAATTGTGAGGTAGTTTGAGCATTCTTTGGCATTGCCTTTCTTTGGGATTGGAATCAAAACTGACCTTTTCCAGTCCTGTGACCACTGCTGAGTTTTCCAAATTTGCTGGCGTATTGAGTGCAGCACTTTCACAGCATCATCTTTTAGGATTTGAAAGAGCTCAGCTCTTTTGGCCCTGACCAGAGAGCAAACCTGTGCCCCCTTGTGGTGGGAGCATGGAACCACTGGACCCTCAGGGAAGCCTGTCACCTAATCCTTTCATCAATCCAGTGAAGCAGGTGCTGTTACCACGGCTATGCTACAAGGGAAGGAAACTGAGGCACGGCTCAGAGGACTCGCCCATGGCCGCATCTCATAGCTGGTAAGTATCAGAATAAGGATTTGAACCCAGCACTCACTCAGACTCCCCCTCCACCTCCCCTGCTCTGTGTTCATAACCATAAGGTGTCCCTGCCTGTTTGGGGGGAATATTGGCAGCAACCAGCTTGTCCAATAACAGCTGCTGCTGTCGTGCTCAGTCATGTCTGACTCTTTGTGACCCGATGGCCTGGAGCCCTCCAGGCTCCTCTGTTCATGAGGTTCTCCAGGCAAGGGTACTGGGCTAGATACTGGGTTGCCATTTCCTTCTCTAGGGAACTTCCCTACCCAAGGATGAAACCCGCATTTCCTGCATTGGCAGGCAGAATCTTTACCACTGAGCCACCTCGGAAAGCCCTTAATAATGACAGGGGACTCAACAAACTCTGATACAGCAATGCTTAATGAGACCACAAGACACTTTAAAAGCACAAAGTTTGGGGACTTCCCTTGTAGTCCAGTGGTTAGGTCTCCATGCTTCTACTGCAGGGGGAATGATTTTGATCCCTGGTCAGGGAGCTAGGTTTCCCCAAGCTGCATGGTTTGGCCAAAATAAAAAAGTCTGGGTTACATACACTGGCTTAGAAAAATGTTGGAGACATAGTCACCAGTGCCTGTGTGCCAAGTTGCCTCAGTTGTGTCCGACTCTTTGCAACCCTATGGACCACAGTCTGCCAGGCTCCTCTGTCCAGTAGATTCTCCAGGCAAGAAT